GCACGGGCTGGGTCCAGCAGGGGAGGTCACAGGCAAGGTTGCAGAGAGTAACCAAAGGCCAGTCCAAAAGTCAGGGATTCCAGAGAGTAGGTTTACCAAAATCCAGTCTAGGGTCACGGAGTTCCAGGCAGCAAGTCCTCCTGTCCAAGGTCAGGGGTTCCAGAAAACCCAGTTGTCAGGTCCAGTTCAATGCTGCAGAGGTCCAGTAGCAGCAAGGTTGGTGGCTGAGTAGCGATGTGTCCTTGTTGCATCCACAAACCGCTGCCTCTCCCAGCTGAATTTATAGCCAAGTCTTAATGAGCTAGACTCCCAGCCAATTCCTTTGCAGTCATCGTGAAACTATTAATTCACCTCTTCGATTGACAGCTGACAATGGGCCATGAGTCTCGCAGTTCTTCTCCTTTCTTGCAACTTCCCTATGAAGAAAGATTAAAACGCTTTGGGCTGTTTAGCTTGGAGAAACAACGGCTGAGGGGTGACATTATCGAGGTTTATAAGATTACACATGGGATAGAGCAGGTAGAGAAAGAGGTATTTTTCTCCCTTTCTCACAATACAAGAACTTGTGGGCACTCCATGAAATTGCTGAGCGGTCGGGTTAGAACAGATAAAAGGAAGTACTTCTTCACCCAAAGAGTGATTAACACATGGGATTCACTGCCACAGGAGGTTGTGGCGGCTACAAGCATGGACGGCTTCACGAGGGAATTAGATAAATATATGGAGCAGAGGTCCATCAGTGGCTATAGCCACAAGGTATAGATAGGAACTCTCAGGCTGGGGCAAGTGATGCTCTATATTCTTAGTGCTTGGGGGGGGGGGACAGTGGGAGGGCTTCTAGTGTCCTGGCCCCACTGCTGGACCTCCTGATGGCTCCTGGTATTTTTGGCCACTGTGTGACAGAGTGTCAGACTGGATGGGCCATTGGCCTGATCCAACATTGGCTTGTCTTATGTTCTTACATCAATTTGGTGTAGTGGTTAAGGAGAGGAGGAGGAGGAGATTGGATTTATACCCCGCCCTTCACTACCCAAGGGAGTCTCAGAGCGGCTTACAAACTCCTTCCCCTTCCCCTCCCCACAACAGACACCCTGTGGGTGGGGCTGAGAGAGCTCTGACACAAACTGCTCTTTCAGGTACAGCTGTGCCAGAGTTTGTGACTGACCCAAGGTCACATCAGCAGGTGCAAGTGGAGGAGTGGGGAATCAAACCCGGTTCTCCTAGATTAGAGTTCGCACACTTTACCACTACACCAAACTGGCTCTCAGAAGTGCGTGGAATCTAATCTGGGAGAACCCGGTTTGATTCCCCACTACTCCACTTACACCTGGTTGGATGGCCTTGGGCAAGCCGTAGCTCTGATAAGAGCTGTTCTTGAAAAAGAGCAGTTTCTGTCAAGAGCTCCCTCAGTCCCACCTACCTCACAGGGTGTCTGTTATGGGGAGGGGAAGGGAAAGGAGTTTGTAAGCTGCTCTGAGACACCTTTGGGTAGTGAAGGGCGGGGTATAAATCCATACTCTTCTCTTCTTCTTAAGTTAACTCTAAACAGCTCTGACAGCATTGGTGCTGCATGGGTGTGGGTGAGCTAGGTGGGCTGGGAGTGGCTGCTGAAGACTTGTTTACTGCTTTAGAGCTACCAGGTGTAGGCTGTGACTCCTGATCAGCCGGTAACCTAAGCTCTCCTTCTGGCTCAGAGCCAGCTGCAGCAGCTGTTCATCAATTACTGGCTCAGGGCCAGCAGGTAGCTCTTCGTCTGAGAAATCTGAGCCATCACTCAGCACAGACTAATTTACAACATTCTGTGTTGTTGTGCAGACCTCTGAAAGCTCAGAGAACTCATAAGGAGATCCACCGATACCAAGGTACCATGACTGGGGGGTGTCCGCTTCTCGGTCTCATTGGTGTCCCCCCCCCACGGCTGATGGCCCTTCCAGTGCCAGACTAAATAATCAGATATTCATTGATAATAGGGATAACAGGCTTTGCTCCAGAAATGCTTGAAGTTGGATTCCACATAACTTTTATCGTTCTGCTTAGTGATAAACAGGTTTGGTTCCATTTTCCAGAGTCCCTCATCCTTTCCCACTAATCTTTTTTTTCTTTTTTTCTTTTTTTAAATTTTAATTAAATTTAAAAAAAACAGTTTAAAATAAGAAAGTAGATCCTGAAGTTTATGTAGAGCAAACAGGGAGGTGTCAATTTTATGTGCTGCTGACGCTTCTAAGAGGGGCATCCATTTTTCTTGGAGATTGTCAGGAACGGGTTGATTTTCAGATCGAAGGATACTAGTGGAAACTTTGTCTTGTAGAAAAAAGTCCCACAATTTCAGATACCAATCACTCAGTTGTAGAGTCTTCTTAGATTTCCAGTGAAATCCAATAACATTCCTAGCAGCCGCAAGACATAATTCTATTAGCTCTTTCATAAGCCCATTAGGGGCAGAATGACTCCAGTGGTTCAGGAGGAACAAGGAGGGTTGCAGTTAGAGGGCGCAACCTGTAGTTAGAAATATTTGGGCATTGACTTCTCTCCAGAAGATCTGAACCTTGGGACACTCCCACCAGCAATGAATATAGGTGCCATGGCCCCCACAATTTTTCCAACACCTGTCAGCTTTCCCACTAATCTGAAGTCACCTTGAGGCCTGTTCGCTTCCACGAGTTATCTGAAGAATAAGAACAGCCTGATCTCACTCAGGCTCTGTGTTTGTTCTCATATTTCGGAGGTGAATTGGAAGATGAGAGGAGCTGATCAAGGGTCCATGGCTTTATCCCATCTTTCCTCTGAGGAGCTTGGCAGGGCATGCCTCCTTCTCCCTTATTTTATCCTCTCCACAAAACAACCCCATAAGGTAGCTTAGACTGAGACAGTGTTGACTAGCCAGAGATCACCCAGCGATCTTTGGGAAGTTGGAACCTGGACTAAACTGAGGCTATCCTACTTTGGTCATACCCTGAGAAGACAAGACTCACTGGAAAAGACAGTAAAGCTAAGGAAAGTTGAAAGCAGCAGGACAGGAGGAAGACCCAACGTTGAGATGGATGGACTCAGTCAAGGAAGCCACAGCCCTCAGTTTGCAAGACCCGAGCAAGGCTGTTAACAATAGAATAATTTGGAAGTCATTCACTCATTGGGTCACCATAAGTTGGAAGTGACTTGATGACACATCACACACACACACAGAACCAAAGGCCACCCAGCAAACGTCATCAGCGGAGTGGGCAATCTGAACCCAGGTCTCCCAGACCAAACACTCTAACCACACAGGTTGCCTTTCCTCCTGGGTTAAAGGCCAGGCTAGTTGTTAAGGGAAAACCTGGGGGTCCCAATCCTGGATTTTCTCCCGAAACTCTAATGCACGGGCTAGAGGGAGGATTGCTAAGCCCAAAGGAGGTGCCGAATCCTTCCCTGGAAGGATTTAGCAGTTTCGTGTTTCCCCCCGCAGCTGAACGCCAGAACTGGAGATGGACCCCGTTGGTGGGGAATGGCCATGGGCAGGGGAGAGAGGGTGGCAGGAAGTTTTCGGAGTATGGTCAGCAGGCACCTGGGGTTGGGTGGATGTTTATCCCTTCTCCTTTGTACCAACCGATCACTCTATAGCTCAGGGGGCAGTTTATGCTTGGGAGGGGGAGGAATTGCTTGATCCCAAGCAGTGTTCCCTCTAAGCTGAGTCAGTGTGAGCTAGCTCACAGTTTTTTAGCCTCCAACTCACAAATTTTTGTCTTGGCTCAGAACGGATGGCTCCAGAGCAAACAAATTTATGCAGTAGCCAAATCACTCGCTCACAACTTTGATGCCGGTAGCTCACAAACTAGAATTTTTGCTCACAAGACTCCAGAGCTTAGAGGGAACATTGATCCCAAGTTGAGCTCCCTGGGGTTTCCATTGAAAGGGTCTCTGAAAGGAGGGACTGGGAAATCCTTTCTTTCCTTGAGACCCTCAGAAAACCCTTGCCAGTCAGAGCAAGCAACACTGAGCTTGAATGATGCACCAACGGCCTGCCTTGGCGTGTAAGGCAGCTTCGTCTGTTCGTATACCTGCCCTCCTGTCCCTAACAAGTTCCCCGTTATTTCCACAAACGGAAGCTGGGCTACATGTTTACCGGGATACCATGAAATCTGGATTAGAGATTAAAAGCGACACTGTGCATGTCAGAAATTCCCAACGGTAGGGCCAAACTACACGTTACGTTTTGACATGAGCTCACCATGGGAGACTCGCGGCCGTACTGCAGCCGTGAGTTCCCCGAGATGATTCTGTATGCAAGCAGTACCGGGGACTGATTCCAATCAGGACCGTGGCATGGGGGGGGGGCAGCAGGGGGCGGGGGACTCCTGCTTCACCTTGCCCTGTTTTCCAGAGCCGAAATGGTCCCGAGGGGCATTGTCTGCCCTGTCAGGGTGGGGCTCCACATACACTGAATGCTCACATGTGCAGCTCCCCAATGGGGTAAATGAAGCCCTCCGAGGCTGTTTTGGCTCGGAGGCACAGCATGGGAGGGAAGGCAGGAGGGCCCGCCCATTCACCGGGGTCTGATCTGAATCGGGGCCCTTGTAACAATTTGACATGGGGTTTCTACTGGGGACTCAGGGCTGCAGTTTGATTGCCAGTTCCCCATTGGGAACATGTAGGTGGGCCTTGAGTCAATGACCAGGTAAATAAACAGGAGACCTGGGGACAGCAGTGTTCCCTCTAAGCTAAGTTAGTGTGAGCTAGCTCACGGTTTTTTAGCCTGCAGCTCACACATTTTTGTCTTAGCTCAGGAAGGATGGCTCCAGAGCAAACTAATTTATGCAGGAGCCAAATCGCTCGCTCACAACTTTAAGGTCAGGAGCTCACAAAGTGGAATTTTTGCTCACAAGACTCCACAGCTTAGAGGGAACATTGGGGGGCAGTCCTGGGAGTGACGGCATTTCCTGGACTATGATGGTGTAACGATACTGGTAAGAGGCACAAAGGAAACACTATTAATTTTACAGCTGTTTCTGGTTTCCTTGCAGATGAGGATGACGCCAACAGGTTGGGTGAGAAGGTGATTCTCCGGGAGCAAGTGAAGGAGCTATTCAACGAAAAATACGGTGAGTAGCCGCTCCCCCGGGCCACTCTAGCTGGATTCTCTGTGGATTTGAACCTGGGCTGGGTTCTTACTCTCCTCTTCCCTCCCTGCTCCTCACACCGCTGACACTCGGGTCGCTGTGGTTAAAGGGCTGGATTTCGACTAGGGAGGCCTGGGTTCAAATCCTGGCTCAGCCACACTGCTTATTGCAGACTTCAAGCCTCTGCTTATTGCATCCTGCTTATTGCACACTGCTTATTGCAGACTTCAAGCCTCTGCTTATTGCATCCTGCTTATTGCACACTGCTTATTGCAGACTTCAAGCCTCTGCTTATTGCATCCTGCTTATTGCACACTGCTTATTGCATCCTGCCTCTCTCTCAGTGAACCTACCGCACAAGTCTGATGCGAGGGAGAGAGGAACCACGTCCACCACCCCTGGGCCCTTGGCTAGAACGGAGAGCTGGAAAAGGCATCAACTGATTAAATAAATGCGTCCCTTCAATGCTACTTTAATTTTGTTACATCACAACAGTGACTGCAAGACAAGCACTGTGGAGGCGGGAGAACCGGGGAGCTTGGTGGCTTTGACTGAGAATTAGAGATATAGGCGAGGAGAATGTCAACAGATGTTTCTGAGAGCCTCTGCATTCAACAGTTGTGGAGCTCTCTAGCTGGAAGGATGCTCTGTCCTTTTTTCCCTTTTCATCACGTTCCATGTTAATTTGCTGTTTGGCCTCTGTCTATATTGGAGCTGCGGTGGCTCAAGTGGTTAAGACGCTGAACTGCAGGCTGTGGAAGGTTCAGCATTTTGAGACCCGAGTGTGCCGCATGATGGAGTGAGCTCCCATCTCTAGTTCCAGCTCCTGCCAACCTAGCAGTTTGAAAGCAAGAAATTATAAATAGGTACCACTTCGGTGGGAAGGGAACAACGTTCTGTGCGCCTTGGTGTTTAGTCATGCCGGCCACATGACCACGGAAACGTCTTCCGACAGCGCTGGCTCCTCGGCTTTGAAACGGAGATGAGCACCGCATCCCTAGAGTCGGATTCGACTGGCTTTCGAGCAAGGGAACCTTCACCTTTACCTCTGTCTGTCTATAAGTTTGAACCTTACCTCCCATTCCAGTGTATTTGAGAAAGTGTGCGTGCACACGAAAGCTCATGCCTTGAACAAACCTTTGTTGGTCTTAAAGGTGCCCCACTGGGCTCTAGATTGGTTCTGCCGCTTCAGACCGATAGGGGCTGACCACCTGGAACTACCTTTTTAACCTCACCTTGGCTGTTGTTACAGGAGAAGCTTTGGGTCTGAACCGGCCGGTCCTGGTGCCATATAAACTGATCAGGGACAGTCCCGACGCCATCGAAGTCACCGGCCTGCCAGACGACATCCCTTTCCGAAACCCCAACACCTATGACATCCACCGGTTGGAGAAAATCCTCAAAGCGCGAGACCGTATCCGAATGGCCATCGTCAACCAGCTCCAGTAAGTCCGGCTGCTTTGGCGTTCCGTCGGTGCAGCAACAGTGTCCTCTGCTGGCGTGAAGTCAGAACAGCCTTTTCCTTTTGCAGAAAAACGTCCAGCCTTGCAAAAAACCTTCAAATCAAGAACAAAAGTCATGTAATGCCTTTTATTGGGCTTACCATATTAGCACAAAACAGTGTACAAAGGTGGAAGCAGATCTCCTAGGCCAGGGGTTCCCAGTCGTTCCCGGAGAGCCAGTTTGGTGTAGTGGTTAAGTGTGCGGACTCTAATCTGGGAGAACCGGGTTTGATTCCCCACTCCTCCACTTGCACCTGGCTGGATGACCTTGGGCAAGCCGTAGTTCTGATAAGAGCTGTCCTTGAAAAAGAGCAGTTTCTGTCAGAGCTCTCTCAGCCCCTCCAGCCTCACAGGGTGTCTGTTGTGGGGAGGGGAAGGGAAAAGGAGTTTGTAAGCCGCTCTGAGACACCTTTGGGCAGTGAAGGGTGGTGTATAAATCCAATCTCTTCTTCTTCTTTTTACCTCACAGGGTGTCTGTTGTGGGGAGGGGAAGAGAAAGGAGTTTGTAAGCTGCTCTGAGACTCCCTTGGGTAGTGAAGGGCAGGGTATAAATCCAATCTCTTCTTCTTCTTCTTCTTCTTCTTCTTCTTCTTTGTTTTGGTATGGTGACCCTCAAGTCCAAATTTACTTTGCACAAGGACCCATCCAGGGCCGGCTCAAGGTTTTTTGGTGCCCTAGGCAAACTATGGGCTCGACATTCATCTGTTCCAGCATTCCATGTTCTCTAGTGCCCAAACTGATGTTTCTGAGAAACCAACAAACATAACCATAAAGTTGCTACTTGCCTGGTTGGCTTTTTTCTCCTCACTGTTGTCAGAAAGAGAGAGAGGGGGAGATGAGAATGTGGGAAGCTGGTGACGGAGGAAGGAAAGCAAAGGATGCAGAGGGCAGAACTGGCCATTAGGGAGGGCTGGCCCCATGACCCATTTTCAGAGGCTTCAGGGCTCACTTTTGGATCCCGACCCATGGGTTGGGAAACACTGTCTTAGGCCATGGGTCTGATCATGCCGGCTTCCTCAGTGGGCCATGCTGCATTGGCTTTTTCCTCCATTGTTTTATCAAACCCACGTTGGGACAGAAATTGCCCTCTGCATTGTGTACTGCTTTCATTTTCTTTGATCATCGGGTTTTATGGTACCCTCCACACTGCATGCCACTTTCACTTTCTTTGACCTTCAGGTTTTATGGTACCTTCTGCCTAGATTTATGGCCATTCAGGGGTGACTTCGCAGTCAGTGCGGCATTGCCCCGGGGTATCTGAATGTGGTTTTGAGCTGCATCTTTTCCTCAGTGTTGAGAAAATTTGGAGCGAATGCCAGATGCAGAACCGGCCAATGAGATGCTGGCCTGTGGCAATCTTATCTTTATCGCTGTTGTGTAGGGTGGCGCCTTGGCGTCTAGTCATGCCAGCCACATGACCATAGAAACGTCTTCAGACAGCGCTGGCTCTTCAGCTTGGAAACAGAGATGAGCACTGCATCCCTAGAGTCGGATTCGACTAGCTTTCAAGCAAGGGAAACCTTTACCTTTACTAGGGTTACAGCACAGTTCCTGGGAAGCTTTGTCCAGTCAGTCTCCCTTCTTTGTTCTTTCAGTGAAATACAGAAATCATCCAAAATTCTTTTGTCCCCATCTTGAGGATCCTCTTATGTCTGCCTCCCTAGGTTTCGCACCAGGTGCTGCCTGCCTCCTAGGTCTTTAGGGAATGAAACAAGGGGGACGAAGTTATGATAAATGGTTGAAAACTAATCCTCTTGGTTGGCATGTTGGCACATGGCAGAATCACTTTCATATGTTTCACTGGAGCTATGGCCTTCTATGCCCTGGTTTGGATGGCCCAGGCTAGCCTCATCCCGTCAGATCTTGGAAGTTAAGCAGGGTTGGTCCTGGTTAGCACTTAGGTGGGAGACCACCCACGGTCAGTTCACAGAGGCAGGCAATGGCAAACCGCCTCTGAAGTCTCTGGTCCTGAAAATCCTCCAGGGTCGCTGTAGGTTCGCGACTTGATGGCACTTTCCACCACCACGTGACATTATATATATGTCATGAAAGTGGGTTGGATCCAGACGAAAAGTCTCATCTGCGGGACAGAACTTTCCTGCCTCCCTGTCCCACTTTAGCCCACTGATCTCCACAAAATGCTGCTCCTGGGGGGCGAGTAGACTCCAAGGAATGACATGAGAGGTCCACAATGGGAAAGAGCAATTAGTGGGAAATGCCAATTTCGTCTGGTCCCTTCCAACTCCAGCACTGAGTTGGAGACTTCGCTTGCTGAATTCTGAAATGGAACAGCTAGTCCTCTGATGGGCTGTTTGAGCAGTGATGCAGAAAACTAATGAGCCAGACCTCTCCTTCCTCATCACAGAATGAGGAGAGGTTTGTTCGTAGCTCTGCATACACAAGACTTTTGAAGGGGCAACAGGAAGCAGCCAGGTACCCTTCCACCGAGGCCTATTATGCACGCACAGCTTATTGGAGATTTTCCGAGCAGCAAGCCTTTAAGCTCGATTTAGGATTCTGTGCCTGCCTTACACAACTTGCTTTTTCCTCCGGTGTATTTCTTCTGCAGCTACAATTTTAAAAAGCACACCATTTCTAAATTGGGATGGGAATGTCACTTGCGACGTTCCAAAGTTTTTAATTTATGCAATTGCCCTATCACAACTGCACAGTGGCATCCAGCAAGCACCTTCAACTTAAATCCTCAAGGTTCAGTTTTTGTGCATGTATTTTAATGTTAATTCAGGGCTCTTTTTGCAGCAGGAACTCATTTGCATATTAGGAGACACACCCCTAATGTAGCCAATCCTCCAAGAGCTTACAGAGCTCTTCTTACAGGGGCTACTGTAAGCTCTTGGAGGATTGGCTACATTGGGGGGGTGTCACCTAATATGCAAAGGAGTTCCTGCTACAAAAAGAGTCCTTGAATTAAAGGGAACACAAGGAAAACTGACGCTGAGACTGACAAAACTGTTTTTGAAACTGACAAGCAGCTGCCAAGTCCTGTTTTCCATATTGCCAAGCACTAGGGGATTCTCTGCTGTGTTATCAACCACTGCGAAAAACGGGGGGAAATGAGATTACACAATCTCATAATATGGGGAAACACATTGAATGTACAGAATGCATGGTAGAACTCAATGACACTGGCATTGCAAGCTTTGATCTTTGGCAATGTGTGTGTGTGTTTGCGTGCCTGTTGCCACCACACTTTGCACAGGGCTGCAGTTTGTACAGGGGAGGATTCCTCTGGCAGAAGCTCTGGAGCTTTTTTAGTCTTGTGCCACTAAATTGGAAAAAATGTGGAATTTTTGCTGATGCACTAGAGCAGCTGCATAGTAATGGTAATTTCCCATTCTTCTTTGCAAATGTGCATGGGTTTTTTCTTCTTGATTTTCTGATTTGATCCTGCCTACTGGTCATGATCTTGGTAGTTTTTTTAAGCCTATCCTGTGCAGATTGCACTCTATCCTCCAAATGGATCGATCCCAAGCGATTCTTAAATTGAACAGTTCACAGAAGGTCCATGTGGCTCAGCTGCCATTTATTTTAATGGGAGGCTTCTTGGAGGCTGCCGAAATGGTCCCCCCCCCCCAACTTTGTTCACTAAAGCATTAAAGGGAAAAATGTTTTCAAAGCTTTAGGCTTTCCATCCCAGTCTCTGTCTCTGCATCTCATGTCAATTTAATTCCGTGCTAATGATCCCCCCCTTTATTTTTTTTGCATGCAGCACTGAAATCCTTTTCTTTTTTTTTGTACTGGGAATGCTGCCATTTGCCTCCTCTCTGATCCCCCTTTCAAGTCAGTACTAGCGGGGAACTAAACCTCACACAGCTCCTTTTAAACTTTCCCCTCGCCATTTTAATTTTTTTAAAAATCCAGGACTAACAATAGTCTCATATCGCTAGACTCATGCCACTTGTCAAAAAATGTAAACATCTAAAACAACAAGGGAAAAGTAATCAGTGGAGCTTGTACACCAATGAAGGGGGGGAGGATGGCAGAAGGTGCAGTGTGGGTGAAACAACCTCAATGTGGGCGGGGGAAGTGACCACATTGAGTGGAAGTGGGCGGGGAAGTGAGCCAGCTTGGTGTAGTGGTTAAGTGCGCGGACTCTAATCTGGGAGAACCGGGTTTGATCCCCCACTCCTTCACTTGCACCTGCTGGATGACCTTGGGCAAGCCATAGTTCTGTCAGAGCTGTTCTTGAAAAAAAAGAGCAGTTTCTGTCAGAACTCTCTCAGCCCCACCTACCTCACAGGGTGTCTGTTGTGGGGAGGGGAAGGGAAAGGAGTTTGTAAGCCGCTCTGAGACTCCTTTGGGTAGTGAAGGGCGGGGTATAAATCCAATCTCTTCTTCTTTTTCTTTGAGGGGTGGCAAAAGGGCGGCAGGGGGGGAATCCGAGGGAATCTGTATGGAAGTGAAACAAGGGAAAAATCTGCACAAAAGCACTCTCAGAAAACCCAGAGAAACAGCAACCACAAAGTGAACGGAGCGCTGAAGGAAGGAAAATGCAGAATGAAAAAGAAAACCTGGAGGACATGCATGATAAAGACGAGGGAAAACAGCCATGCCTAATAGGCCCATGGGTGGACCCAGTTCAAGCTGAGAGTCTCCCCCTCCCCGGAACATCTTGTAGTGAAATGCACCATTTTTATTATCTTTTGATTCCCCGGGAGCCAATGTTTTGGCTGAAAAGCAAGATGTAAATATAATAAATACTTTTCTGATCATAGAATTTTTTCCCCCGGTCAGAGATTTGAGGTGGTCTTCACTCAGACGTACTGTGCACAAAGACAATGCTAGCCCCAGGCAGTTTGATGAATCCTGGAGAGAGGCTCTGGACATCCACTAAGTCTAAATCTCATGTTCTTATTTGTGTTTTGCCACACAGGCCGTTTGCAGATGCGGGCCCGGAGGCCAAACAGCCAGGTAGGTTGAAAAATTAAAAGGGGGGGGGGAGCCTCAAAGCATCAGTTTGGAGTGAATCTGTTTATGCTAATCTTAACCATATTTATGAATTTGGTAGATTTTTTTATTCCACACTTTCCCCAGGCAGCTCAGAACGACATAGATGGATACCCCCTTCCTTCTTTTTTATTCTGACCACACCCCTCTGAAGTCCCCTCCCTGTAACCTTTCCCATAAGAAGAATTCCCAGTATGATCCCCCCCCCTTCATACGTTGGTAGAAAGGAGCTGTAACTCACAAATCCTCCTACTGAAATACATGTAAGGGTCGGGGACCCCTGCACTAGAGGGGAGGCACCTTTGGAGAGGAAGCTGTATGGGGAGAAGGCCGTGCAAATTAAAAACACATTGCTTCCTTTGGATTCCTTTGAAAACACATTTCTTCACATGGAATTCACTGCCACAGGAGGTGGTGGCAGCTATTCCAGAAGAATGAAATTGCTGAGCAGCCGGGTTAGAACAGATAAAAGGAAGCACTTCTTCACCCAAAGAGTGATTAACACATGGAATTCACTGCCATAGGAAGTGGCGGTGGCTACAAGCATGGACGGCTTCAAGAGGGAATTAGATAAGCATATGGAGCAGAGGTCCATCAGTGGCTATTAGCCACAAGGTATAGATAGGGACTCTGGGGCAAGTGATGCTCTGTATTCTTGGTGCTTGGGGGGGGGGTCGACAGTGGGAGGGCTTCTAGTGTCCTGGCCCCACTGCTGGACCTCCTGATGGCACCTGGTATTTTTGACAACTGTGTGACAGTGTTGGACTAGATGGGCCATTGGCCTGATCCAACATTGGCGTCTCTTATGTTCTTATGTTCTCCTAGAAACTGATGGCAGCATTCCCAAACGGAAGCGGAAGCGGATCTCAGAAGGGAATTCTGTATCCTCCTCTTCGTCGTCATCGTCCTCTTCCTCTTCCAACCTGGAGTCCACGCCATCAGCCAATCAGATCTCGCTTGTGGTAAGTATGTTAACAACTAGCACAGCTCTCGCTGAGTTAAGTCCACCTCTGTCTGGGTTGTACCACTTCAGACAGCAAAAGGAAGCAGTTTCCTTACTTGCAGGGGGGGATACGATGTTTGCATGAAGAAGGCCATGTGTTTAAGTGGCATCTCTGGTTAAAGGGTCTCAGCTAGGAGATATTAGGCTCTCTGAGACCCCAGAGAGCCACAGAATAAACAGCACTGGATGAAGACTATGACTGGGGCAGAAGGCAGCTCAGAGCAGGGGTGTAAAACATGCGGCCCGGGGGCCGGATTAGGCCCCTGGAGGGCTTCTATCAGGCCTGCAGTGGAACTGGGTGTCTTGTGCTTCTTCTTCCAGTTCTGCTGCTGCTGCATCATCGTAGGTTTGCAGCTTACAGATACACACCTGAACAGCATACTAGGATTGCAACAGCACAGGCATTTTGATGCAGTAATTCAGAGCAAGAGGTGTCAGCTATCAGACACTGTTAAATAAACAAAATATTGCAAGAGTGCTAATGTTTTAAGCATGTTTTTATTTTAAGTTAAAAAATCCTTTTGTGTTTGTGTCCTTTATAAAGTTTATATCTCCGCTACCTGGCATTACATTTTATGACACACATGGCCCGGCTCAACAAGGTCTCATTTATGTCAGATCCAGCCCTCATAACAAATGAGTTCAACACCCCTGGCTCAGAGTGTCTTGGGGTCTCAGCTGGTGAGCCAGCCGTCTATCAAACGCCATTGTGTTTTCCTAATTCGTCTTTTCCAGCAATGGCCCATGTACATGTTGGACTACGGCGGACTCAACGTTCAAATCCCAGGACCCATGAACTCTTGAG